TCTTCACTTGATGAACAATTACTCTGCAAAAAAAAAAGAGATTACATAAAACATAATGACACGTGAAATCCAATTTTTTAGTTTTCGATTTACGTATTGTTGTGATTCTCACCTTTCCATAATTGCAGGATAGCAGATTCAATAGCCACGATTGAAGTAAGAAGTGCAAACGGGAAAGCCCAGAGAATATAATTGGAAACAAGTTAATAAGGTGGTAAGAAAAGGAAATATGTTTTAGCAAAGTTGCAGAATACGAACGAAAACGTTCTATACGAACCAGCCAGAAAACAAATGAACATAACGGAGGTACTGTAAAAAAAATGAACCACGTAAAGGGCAAGAAGAACGATTGCATTGTTATCATGCAAAATGATCCAATGTAATCTATTGAAATTATATTTATGAAATGTGTTTTATTCATATTGAGTTTTATCTACGCCTAAAAAATTTTAATACATTGGGATGATATATTCATTATATTACCTATTTTAAGAGTATTTAACATTCTTTATCAACACCTGAAATTTTAGAAAACATCTTTAGCTATCTTTCTAATGATGAGGAGTTATTCAAACTTTTTGCAACAGTCAATCTACCTTGAAGTTATAATGAGTTTCACCTTAATACTTTTTATTTGCTTAAAATATTTAAAATATCATATTTTTAGAATTGGCCAAATTTTTTGAAATGCATTAATAATACTCAATGGACAAGTTCAAAAAAATCGTCTTATAATTATTTATTCTCAAATTTACGAAATTTTGCATTTAGCATCACTAAAAATCAGAAATAAATACTATCAAAATCAAAAAAAAAAAATCATTGGTATATAAATACCCGTTTCTATTTAATAATTTTTTCTGAAAACTTATCTAAGACATTAATAATATTAACGAATTAAAAAGAATCTATCATCATATGAGAAATCACTTTTAAGTTTTGCTACATTTGTAAGAATCCACGCGGTTCCGATGGCGTGTGTTTGAGCGTTTTGGATTAGAGCATGAGTAGAGGGTGGATGCATGAATGCATTGGGACAATCTGTGCAAATTTTATTTCTTACGGTGTACATTTCGTGACCATCTTTGAAAGAAAAATACAACGGGATCCTTCATCTCTTCGCTTCTGAATGGGAAGGCCCTCCGTTGCAAATTTGTCCATAATACCACAATATGTGGGATAACTGTGTTGATTGATCCAATCCGGATTCGGATTAATAATCAGAACTGGGTCAAGTATTTTGACTTTACTGAGTTGTCTCGCGTATTTCGAAATCTCCTCACAGAAGCTTTCGAAAAAATGGTTTTAAGTGCGTCTCGGGTCGATGGGAAGCTAGAGTATTCAAACATTCTAAAAATTTAACATATGAAATGAGTATTCTTCTGTAACTAAAATAATCAGATAACATTACAATTACTCTTCGCTGCTTAATGAGCAAGATGTAATTACTGTGTAAAGAAAAAAATATGAGACTAACCCAATTTTATCCTTTCCTATTCCTTTAAACAATGTATAGATGATTTTAGCCTTTTGAGTCTTCTTACGCAAATACTCTCTCTTAATTCCAGGTAAATATTGCATCGTTTCATCATATATTTTGTGTTCTTGCCATTTGATCACTAATATTATTTTCGGAACTAAGAGTTGAAACCTTTTTTTCACATTTCTCGCTATAACAATACCATCGTAATTTTTCTTTCCGTCCAGTTTTCTCTGCCTTGCTGAATGAATGCGCCAGATAAGGTGAGCTGTCTGGAATTAAATCATCCTCACTTGTCATATCATTATTGTGGAATAGGGTACCAGAAATTTGTTTACCAGATATTGAATACGAATTTTGTAAGATCATGGTGTCGTTGCTCCTAGCCACTTTGTGACTACCTTCGGCAATAAATTCAAGCAATTCACTTATTAAACCCTGTTCTACTTTTTGATTGTATGAAATTTTTATTTCAGAAGAT